GGAAAATTTTGTAGCGCCCCTCTCCCTGCGAAAGAAATTTTTGGTACTGCTGCTGCTGACAGCTACTATGATAATGTCATAAATTCTCACCCAGACACTGTTTTGATCGCATCCTTGACCAAGCCGGCTTGTGACAGCACATCCATTAGTGTATTACCCTCCTGGCACAATGCCAAAGTAGTACAGAGCCATTCATCTATTAGCTGAGCAGCTTTTACTTTGGCAACACCTTCTTGGAAATGAAACTTGTCAACCAAGTCGGTCATGTCTCTTTCCAAGCTCGGAAACATCTAAAAACATATTGATGTAATATCAAACTTACAGTTTGCAGAAAAGAATTCGCTCTTTCCAGCATAAATGCTACAGAAAAATTTTGTAACCGATCATTAAATAGAGCGCTAAAGAATGGTACGTGGATTTTTGACCGGATATTTTATTTTGTTTTTCAATGAAGTGGTGTGAGAGAGTGTGGTGACAATTTTCTCATAAAACTTTCTGTAAGTTATGTTTTGAGAAATAATCAAATTCTGATCTGAAAAGCAGAATCAATTCTTTTCTCAACCTAAATTGCTCCCCAAATAATAGTGAATAACAACCCCCTGCACCCTAAAATAAATCAATTTTTAGCCAACCCAACATGTTGAAGAGATTTGGTTCTGACAAGTGTGCAAACTATTACTCATGTAAATTTTTCACCCGAGTGTGAATGTTACAAAAGAGCATTTTTCGAAGCGCTACAAACCTTCTCAAGTTCTCCACAGATTTTCTGCACATCACGGGAAAAGCTCGGATCCACAAGAGCACGTTTTTTCACGATCTAAGATAGGTTATGACAAACAAATCTGACTGCAGAGGCGCTGCAACCATACTTATTGTTTCCAAACATACCTCGACCATTATTTGTCCGTTCTTGCTGAAGAAAGATATAGCACTAGCTAATCTTCTGCTATTCATAACACCGCGGTCTCGCACAAACTCGAGGTACTGTTTTGGCAAGAGTGTTGGATCCTAGAACACACCGAGATCGTGCCATTCCTTTGAAGCAACGGTCTTACCAATTTTTTATTGTGAACAGCTACACGGAGAAAGAGAGCGAGTGCAGAATTATAAAGACGACTAGCAGCCATGGCAGCAGAAGCGTCCCAGCAGAAGATCAATCGATACTCATCAATCTCAAAGCGCCTAGATAAAAATTTTCATGACCTTGCCATGAGAGGTTCTAATGAATTTACCGAAAACGATTGCTATCGGCTTTGCAGCAAAAGTCAAAAAAGAGGTTTTTCAGTAGCTAAATAAGCCATAAGTATTCGCTAGCGTCCAAGCAAAATGAACGCTACGCGACCGCAACGCTGCACCGGCCGTAACTTCGTCGTGTGTCTGCGTGTTTAGACTGTGTCGCATACTACGCATACAGCGAAAAAATTACATTGAAAATTTGGTAGAGGAAGTTGCGAGTGATGAAAATTAAATAGTTGCGCTATAATATTTGCTTCTTTTTCAAATAGTTTTTGTGCCGAAATCTCTCAAATTCATGGCTTACCTAGGTATAGCCTCCAACACAGCATCGAAGGACTCCATGATAGTTTTATTGTAGACAACACTACTCCAGAATGACGCTGATGGTTGTTGAAGTATACGTTCATAGGTGAAAGCAAGCGTATTTGCTGCATTTTGCCAGTCAGAAAGATCAGCTGGAGACGACTTGTACGGCAGACGCCCGATAAGTTGGCATTTTGCTTTATCCGCTGATGATTCCGCCTGAAAATGAACAGTACTCCTTACACATTATATAAATCATTTTATTTTCTATGTCTTTAACTTTTAAATATGAATTATTTTGTTTTTCAAATTATTTTCAATCGTTTCGCAAAACATTGATGACTAAAAGGTGTTTGTTCTTCTCAATCCAAAAAAAGTCTCTAACCTTTTGTTACTCTATATCTGCAATAGAAAAACTGATTCAAGCATTCCTAAATATAATAGATTAAAAATCATAAAAATGTCCACAGCATAATTCTGGCCAATAGCAAACATTAGCAAACATGATAAAATAATATGAACTTCGAATTACTTGAAGTAATGCTTAAAATAACAATTCTACCTCACTCGGAGACAGCCAAGGTGAAAAAAATCAGGCAAAAACAAAAAAGAATTGAACTCACCAGATTCATTGCTATATTCTATTCGCAGTAAGGGGAGAATTTTCGGTACTGATGTAGGCCTGAAAAAGAAAACAATTTTACCAAAGACAAGTGAGAAGGGGTGGGCGGAATTGCGCAATATTGCGCATGAATCTAGAAAAGAATGCTGTCAAAAAATTCCAGGTAGTCGTAGTAAAGACTCGAAGGTTGAGAATTCGTGCAATTTACAGTGTGAGAATGGATTTGAACATCTTTTCTAAATCTGAGAAAAGTTAAGGCTGATTTTGAGAAAAATGAAACAGAAAATATTGTCGCGTATAATTATAGCAAAATGAGATGATACCAAAGTATAAGACTGTGAAACGTAAAACAAACTTAATTCTTGAAAGGATTCCACTACCACGAAGATATACGAAACGTAAGAAGAAGTATTTGGTATACATGAAAATAATCTTTTAAAAAATATCTGCAATTCTATCACCTTCTCCAGCTTCGATGAAATCACTTGAAGTGATACAAATTAGAGAGAGAAAATCTTGCCCTTTCTGCAAGTTCTTAAATCGAAATTTTATCGTGGGCATATGGCACTGATAGCTATTAAGAGAAAAACCCAAAAAGTGACTCGATGCATTTTGGTCGCTGAAAGCTAAACCGTCTACTGAGGTCAAGGTTTACTTTTGTTCTTGATTCTAACTACCTTCTCTGACTAAAATTGGTAGTGAGCTTTCTAAGAATAGTTATGAATTCCCATTTTGCTTCAACTTAGTGATTTTGCTTCGAGTTGCTTCTCCAAAAAGTAATCTAGAATACTATCTTCGACAAAGACAAAAAGCATATTGTGTAAATCAGTTAGTCTGTTTGAGCATTTTTAAGGAAAAATTTCTATTTTTTTGTGCAAGAATGGTCCATTATTCTAAAGAACGCAACAAAAAAAAAACAAAAGGAGATAATCATACTATTAGGTTGTCCCAAAAGTTCGCTCGCACCATTTTCAAAAATTCATCACTCTTTAAATTCTCAACGAATTTGTACGATCAAAATTTTGCGTAAGAGAGGAGCTAATGCTATTCGCATCTGTACCTGAATTGTTCGTTATTGTGCACAAGTGAAGGAGATAGAAGCTCAAAACCAAAATCACTCAAAATTTGAATTTTTCGTGTAGGGTCATAAAAAATCGGAAACTTGCAACAAAAATCGGAGCAGTCGGCATTGTAGGTTCTTTTACCAGCTCTTTCTAACAGTGCAAAGTTTGCGCTGATTGAGCGTTTCTATGAAAAGTTACGATTTCCTTGAAAAATGCCAAAATAAATCAAAATCGCCCTTTTGTATTGCTTGCTCGAAAATCGTAGCTTTTCATAGAGACGCTTAATCGGCGCAAACTTTGCACTGTTAGAAAGAGCTGGTGAAAGAACCTATGATACCGGCTGCTCCGATTTTTGCTGCAAGTTTCCGTTTTTTTATGACCTTACACAGAAAATTCGAATTTTGACTAATTTTCTTTTATCGCTCCTATCTATGCAAAAGATGATCATTCGCAAGCAGCTAAGGTGTCGTTATAAAGAGCATGACTTACTCTTTCATACAAAAATAAAAGCAGTCAAATCGGTCGGGAAAAACAGAAGTTAAGAATTTTTGAAAATGATGCGAACGAACTTTCGGGACAACCTAATATTTACAGTAATAATAGGCTGAGTAGTAATAGTAAAGATCGGGTAAATCAGTGAGGATGAGATGAACAGAAAAATAAGGAGTAGCGGCAAAAGGATTTTGTGTTCACGATGGTTCGTGAGGAAACATTTTGGAGAAAATGACTACGGTGGAGAACCCGTTGGTTTATTGTTCAAAATAGAAAAATACATTTTTCAAGTCTTTTTGAATGGAATATAAACCCTGTAAATATTTACAAGTATGTATGAAAATAGATTGTAGGAAATTTCCGCACTGGAAATTTCTTTTGATCTAGAGAAACTCTAGCGAAGAGATTTTTTTCTTTCAAAATCTCATCGACATAGCGATGCACTTGCATAGAAAATCCACAAACATTAGCGTGAGCGCGACAGATCATTTATCCCTGGCAGCGGCAAAAATTTTTTTCCTCATTAAATGAGGAAGCGACGAAATTTTTTCCGGGAATAAAAAAGTGGTGTTCACCACCTCTCATTTGTCATTTTACAAACTCATAATTTTGAACTTCTGATCAAACGAGTATTCACTTCTTCCGGACTCATACCATTTTGACCATTCCCAAATGAAATAAACTACTTGTACGATTCTGCAATGAACAAAATTTTGCATTGTAGCTCACACATTGTCAGACGGATAGAGTTAAAGATAGAGAAATATAAACCATAGCGCATTTATGATTTATAGTATAAATCAGAAATGTCATGTTAAATAACTCCAGGGATGCATTTTAGTCTGAAAGAAGTTTGGAGAAGGAGCATGTGGCCCATCCTTCGAGGCAGAGGGGTCTAACATAAGCCGAACAGAGGTGATCTTTCTGAGAATGTGGTGGTTTTCAAGAATACAAATAACTTCAGCATTTAGAATAAAACTAACGCGCTTATAACAAATCTGGTAGGTAGTGCAGTGATATAATGTATCAACGTGTACACGACCTTCATTCCAAAAGTTTTCAGAATTTTCTAACAACCGTTTTGATAACTCCAGATCCGAAAAATTCTTGAACTTAAAAGAACAGTAGTAGCAGGACGAAATATATTACACGTTCTATGACAGACCATTTATAATGCATCCAGATTCACCACAGCTTCATACACGCCCATGGCCATGTTTAGAGAGATGCACAAAAACATCACACTTCAAAGATTTGAATGAGGCAAACAAAAAAAAAAATTCGGAAACAACCCATCTCCTCTATAAATATAGAAAGTTCTGAAATCTTTAACAAATAACAACAACAATAACAAGCAACAAATTTCAACAAAGGGGGTTTACAGTAAATAAAACAAACAGTATTTTCAGCTCGCAAAATTTAGACATTATTAGAATCACAGTTCTACAAAAATCAAAACAGGCTACTAAACTATGTACAAAATAAACTGAAGTTCTAGATATAAATCTTATTTCTACCCATCTTTGCTGTTTTCTGCTCGAGTGGAGGCCACATAACTGTGATAGTTCCATGCAAAGACTCCGGCAACCACTCCAGATATTCTTCTAGCAGATAATTCTCGTCTTTGTGCCAAGCTTCAATCAGATCAGCCTTTGTGTGAACCTACAAAACCAGCCAAATGGACACTGCGTCACTTAGCATCAGCTACTCACCTCCTTTTCAATCAAAGCATTGAGCAGAGTCTCCGTTCTCTTCTGTAACTTAGCCCAAGACCTAACCATTGTTGTAGGAGGGGCTAGCATTTTCGGCACATATTCAGCCAGTAGAGGCATTACCTAAATAAGGGCAATGAAGAGCGTAAAGCTCAGCCCAAGAGCTTGACTCCGCATACCTCTCCAGCCAATAGGAATTGTGCAAAATATCGGTACAACATGATATCATTAGGCACTGGTCGATCCACAGGCTCAAGATGCCATTCTAATGGCCCGAAAGTTACACTAACACTCTTAACTATCTGATCCTTTTCTGCGTCATACCTCAAGTACAACAAATATGATTATGAAACAAACCCTAGGCTATGGGAACCTACCTGGGCAGCTGATCTCTGTCCATAGGAGCAAAATTACAGTAAGGTTCTGCAAGCCGCGTCAACCATTCATGATCCACCATCATAAGATTTTGCATGCATCTACGATCACCAAGTTGGACAATTTCTTGATAAATGACGTAATCAGGCTCTTCAGTATAAATCACACTGCATGGATCGATGAAAACATATTCCTGCAAAAAAGGCAAAATAAGATAACGAACTTAGGAAACAGCTTGGATGTCGCGGGTATTGGCATGTTGCGCCTCCCTGCCAAATTCTGCAAAGGGCATCTTGAGCCCCGATGCAATGTATACAAAAAACGCACAAGGATTAAGAAGATTAACGTGAAGATAAAAAAAGTTCACGAGAACTTGATTTTTAGACCCGAAGTAGTCCAACCTGCAATTTCATTGTTTGGTATGCTCCTTTCGGCACTTCTTCATCACCAGCGGACCGATCCACACGTTTAGCGATGCGATCAGCTAGTCCAGCTACCATCATTTGCCTTAAATTCAATGATTTTTCAACACAGTAGATAGGGTAGTAAAATTTGGTAATAAATCTACCTCAACATTTGCGCTTGAGTGTCTGATGGAGGTGGAAGGTTTGGGTCAAAAACGACATCAGCGGCCGCTTTGAAAGATGTGTTTACTATGTTGGTTAGTTGCCTTCGAAGTCGACGAATTTCTAGCATGGCTTTATGCCTAAGACCTAACTTTGAACATGCCGCTGGACTCATCTAAACCATAAAAGATTAAGAACTGAGAGAGCAAAAGCATTGTTTGCGTGGGGCACAATGCGTGCGCACCTTTTCTGCTTCACTGCAATTCACAGCCCGCATCAGAACCAAAAGATCACCAAGGCGTCGGCCGGGGCCCTGTGATACTGACCACTTTAAGGACAATCGACAAAAAAAATCAGCTATGATGGAGATAAAACTACCTTCCCACACCAGCTTCTCCTCAATTTCAACACTTCCGTCATCTTTTCCTTCGTCTCTTCGTCAGTCTCGCCTCGAATAGATGAAATGGGTATCATTGGTTCTCGGACTAAAAGATAGTAAGACAGCACTTGTAGTGAGAGGTGCTGATACTGCGCAAGAGTTCTATTTAAAAATAATTTGAAAGTTTGATTGAACTCATCAGTAATATCGATAACATGCCTAAAGAGATAACAAAAAAGAAACGTTCAAAAAGTAGGTACTATACAGATAAAAACGGCAAAAACGATGCTGACCTGACAACGCTGCTATAAGTATAATTGCATAGGGCATCAGATTGTGCTGATTAGCCATAGCTATCACTTTTGCGTAAGCTGGTGCCAATGGAAACACCGATAATGTGCGACCTAATGGCGTGATCCGCGCCTCAGTCTGAGACCAAACGCATCATGTAAATCCACCAAAAAATCATATTGCAATCTAACACCTACCTTTCCTTCTTTCGTTGTTTTCGCCAATGCACCCAACTTTATCAAACGCAATTCAGCAGCTTCCAACGTCTCTGGATCAGGCGCTGAGGGAAATGGGAAGTTGACGACCTAGATATTACCGATATTAAAATAAGCATAGCAAGAAATCTGTTACAAAACAGACCTTGACAATATTCATGGACTTCAAGTGAAGAACAAGTTGATCTGCCGGCTTATCTAGAATTTCCGGTCGAGAAAACTTTTCGAAATCCTCAAAAACAGCAGATGAGTAGAGCCTACAAAGCAACACATATCTAAAATCTGATGGGAAAGACGGAATCTCCAAATCGTGCATAGATTAGACATGAAAGCGTCTGCTAATAATTCCCTGCAAAGCATGGGAGACACTTACCTGTATGCATGACCTGGTGCAATACGTCCAGCACGTCCAGCGCGCTGATCAGCCGATGCTTGACTTATATGAGCTACTACAAATTGGGATACACCCGTAATTGGATCATAAAGTCTGAATAATAAACATGAAGACCAATATTTCCATAAAACCAATGAATTACCTCCTCTTCTCGAAGCCAGTATCCACGACATACTTTACACCGGGTATGGTCAGTGACGTTTCTGCCACATTCGTCGCTATTACACACATTCTGAAATAATAGTTTTAGCAAGAACTACGCTACGAAGATGATGAGAGTAACAATTTTTACGGAAACTGATGACATACCTGGCTCCTTCTGGTGGCGGCTCAAACACTCGTCTCTGCTTCTCTGATGATAACAGTGAGTACAAAGGCAAGCAGTAGAGAGGTGCGCAGTCGTTTGGTGGAGCTGCCATGGGGGTTTCCTGCAAGCAAACATACGCTCTTTCAACCGTTACGTAAATGTGGACTGCTACTTGCTATACTTGAAAAAGTGCAATTCATTCTAAGAACAATTTCATGCAAATGCTGACGTGCAACCCGAACCCCTACATTTCTCACTCACCAAGCGACTATCTTCGTCCTCTTCTCCCTCCTCGTAATCATCCCACATGGTGTCTCCTACACCGGTTTCCAAAAAGTCTTCACCATCAAGCTGTTCAACCCGCTAAATTCAGAAATGACTGAAGTCAAAACAGATAGTATCGGCGGCTCACATTTTCTTTAAAATCCTCCAGCTTCAGATCTTGCACCTCTTTCAAACGTTTCTTTTTCCATTTTTTGCCTCCTCTTACCATGAGCTCCCCATCTTTGCTTTTCTCATAGTGAACCTAGAAGATCCAGTGATATAGAAAACGCCTGAAATCTCGCAAAATTTGTTTGCGAATTGTGCATGCTAGGAACAAGAGTAGTTGGAACTCTATTTCTACTTGTGTATTGTTTGAGGAACATATTCTAGAACTTGAATCAGTTCACCACAGCATAAATGACCACATAAAGACCGATAAAACTCACAGGATAGCGTGCAACCAACTTCTTGACTAGTTGCTTGACTTCTTGTTGACCGCTAACAAAAACCAGTATGGCACCATCAGGTAAGGCTTCATGGATTCTGCATATCTAAAAGGTCTACTAAAAACTGACGAGTCTACGGTAACGATAGCCAGAGATAAGGAAGAATCTAGAAGGAACAAAGAACGGTTGACCAAAGTCATATCCAATACAAAAATGAATCTCAAATAAACATAGACGAGCAAAATCACTGAAATTACCTTTCTGAAAGACGCCACCATGTAGTCAGCTGGAGTGCGTTTTTCGAAGTGTACGGTTACTGGAAACTGCCTGGCTTCCACATTGATGACCTGAGGTTCTATTATAGGGAACAACCTGAAAAGAGTATATTCGAAAATCGCTGAAAATTCCGAATTCGCGTTTGGCTGCTATTGCACTAAACAATACATAGGTGAAGATATCAACAGGTAAAACGAAAAAGGGATTAGAATCTAATTTCTGAGCAGCTCATGCATGACTACATCCCCTCATCTCCATGCCAAAATAAATACCCAACCTTTTGTGCGTGAAGTCATCCAATCGTAAAGTGGCAGACATTATGATCAGCTTGAGTGGGTTAGCAGTTTTGGCTCTCAGTGGAGCTATTCGACTCAGCATTCCTATCAGAACATCGCTGTACATGGACCTTTCATGCGCTTCATCGATGAGAATCGCCGAGTATCTATGGATCGAGAATTCGAATGAGTGGAAAAAATGTGAGCTCGCATAGATGATGCCCAGGAAGGAGAATAAGATTGCCAAAAATAGAACATCAACGAACAACAAATAAGACTAAAAAACAGGAGATTTGAGAAAAAGAGATGTCTCACTTTTTCAGCATTATGTCAGACTCCATTTCTTTCATTAACACACCATCGGTCATAAACAATATCCTGGTCTTATCGGTGCGATTTCCTTCATAACGTATCTAAACTTTGACGATAAAATGAATGCACTTTGATTAAATCTTTGGCGGAGCAAAATGTAAAAAGCGGCGATTATCATTTCACCAATAAAAGCAAAGTCCACAAATAAGCCTACCTGGTAGGAGACTTCATCGGGTGCATTAAGTTCCTCACCAATTCTCTGCGCCATTGACATAGCTGCAACACGTCTTGGTTCCGTTATGCCAATTAGCTGACCGTCGTTAGCATATCTAACATGACAAGGAATAACGCAAATTGGTAAAAATACAAGACTTGAACTACAAAGTTCCCGGTGGGTATAAAACAAAAAAAATTGAAATTTGACTCACCCAGCTTCATACAGAAATTGCGGAATTTGTGTAGTTTTTCCTGAGCCCGTCTCACCGCAGATGACAGTCACCTGGTATTTTGACAATGAATTTGAAGATGACGATTATGAAAAGTGAAAGACTGTTCAGATAACGAAAGAAGATTTCAAACTCACAACATTATCGTTTATTGTCTCCATGATTGGTACTTCTTCGGAGTAGATTGGTAACTGAGCTCTTTTAGCCTCTATGTTTGGATCCCTAGCTATCAAAACCCGTTTCCTCTGAACCGCTGGTAAGGCAGGTTTCGAAACCTCTTCCTCAGCTTCGACTTTGACTTCCTAAACTTTATGTAATCATATGCTAACCATATTATATTGCAAATAAAGAAATCCCAAAAACCGTGAGCTTTTCCATGAAAAACATACTAGCTTTGAGAGGTAAAATAGTCTTTTCTCTCTAAAACAAAATCAGCATGCATGCTATGAGAGAAAAGATATATGGACGCAACATAAGAGATGAGAAAAAATCAGAATGCCAAACAAGATCTACTAACCTTTGGAGGGACCCTTAGCTCTTGTTGCTTTGCAGTTTCGCCAGTAACAATCGTCTTATTTTGGTCAGCGGATGACGTAGCAGGTTTCTAGGAATTCAGTATTCAAAATCCTGCACCATACAAATGCGCATCTGTACCTCTACACTTCCTTCAACTTTGTGGCTGCTGTCCTCCACTTCATTCGTTTCGGCTGGTACCTCATTTTCTGGCTGAGAAGTGGAAGTGGATGCTTGGCAGCCCTGAATATTGATATCGTTGTTAGAAAAAATGGAAATGTTAGTGATAGAGAAAAAAAGACACCTCGATTTCATCGCCTTCATCCTTGTCTTCTTCAGAACTCTCATCGTCTGTCGGGTAGTAGTTTTCTTGTTTACGCTCTTTTTCGTGGATTGTTGGGGGAAGCTTGATTTTCGACGATACTGACTTAATCCTAGTGGGAAAGGTGCAAGAATCGTCGCTGAAAGAGAAAATTCACAGGGATCTTCAGAAATCAACAATTGCGCACCCTTTCAATTTCTCTTGCATATGAGTAGATGAGCCGAGTTGATTCAGCTTTTTTGTATCCACTTGGTATTCAGCCAAACTGGCGAAAAGCTCCTCTTGCTTGAAAAAAAAGAAGTGAAAGTTCCTAGAAAGTTCGATATAAGATTATCAACTTACTGTCAATTTATTTGCTTTTCTCTGCTGTACTGCTGCCAACTGCCGCTTCATCTTCTTTGTCATCTTCTGTTTTTCTCTTTCTTTAGCGTAATTTTTGCTTTTCTTACCACCAGTAGCATCCTTTTTCTTGGGAATAGGTCCATCATCGACCTTTTTCCGCTTCTTTCCTGTAACGTATGCAGTTTTTATTATTTGAAAGACGGACTTTCTGTTCAAACAAGTAAAGAGTAATTCTACCTGGAACTACCACAAGTTGATTCGAATCGCTGGTATCAAGGTGATCCCTTTTTGGATCATATAGAACATCTGTGGACGTCATCCCTAAAACTGCAATGGCAAAGCATCAAACTGAAGTAATGACAAGCAAAGTACAAAGTGAAAACACACAACAATTGCCCACAGGTAAACAGAGCAAATTTGACAAGGAAAATTTCGAAGTGCGATTTGTGGAGGGGATTAACACCTAAAGTTACAGAATACGTAGCGCTTTAAATGAACAAAAGTTGAAAATCAAAAAGATGGAACTAGTTCTGGCTCGCAGATAAACTAGGCGTGAGTTAACACAGTGTGTTATCACGTAATCTTCAGTACACCGTAGCAACGTTACGATATCGTACGTAAATAGATACATTGGATAGGTTTTCCGCTGTGCTGTGCTATTGTGCTTGCACTGTAGGTAAAATGCGGCAAAATTTGCGCGTAAAAAATTAGCCACGATAATGCCGGCACTCTGCGCGCGCAAACGGAAGGCGTCACAGGCGCTACTACTTGTTCAGGCGCAAATTTTAGCGCATTTCACCTTGGTACAGTGCAAGCACACTATATTAAGCGGCAATTCTACTCGACTGTACGTACCACTCTGACATTCGGTGCGTGCGGCGCGCGCTTGTTAATGGCCAGCAGTGCGGCCCGCGCGCCCAGATTTACGGGCGGGGTCATGTACCGTGCGGCCCGCGCGCCTTGTATCCTTAGCGTACGGCCCGCGCGCAATACATTCTCCCCGTGCCGCCCGCGCGCCTCCAATTCCCACACGCTATAGGCGTAATAGGTACCCGCGTGAGGTACGACGCTGTGATTAGGCTGCTCCATCACTTGTGGAGCTGACTTAGGTATCATTTCTAGGCATTTGAGTAATCGCAGGAACATAAGAAGTTTTTTACTTCTACGGAGGTTATCCCCCGACAGCGTCCCGAATGGGTGCTGAATTTGAATTTTGAATTCTGTGAATTCAAATTCAAATTCTCAAATTTTTTGGACTGTGAAGTTGAGAATGCTCACGGCACGACGGAAGAAGAAAAAGAAGATCTATGAAAAAGACTTATTCTCTAGTAGCTTGCGGACGGAGCGCTTTCGATACCGTGCGGCCCGCGCGCATTCATCGTTCGGCTCGCGCGCACGGAGCGTTCGGCCCCCTCGCACTACAAGGCGCCGCACGGGGAGCGCGCGCGCGCCGCACGGACTAAATGTCAGAGCAGTGGCGTACCCAGAATTTCGGCTTGGAGGGGGCGACAAAAAAATTTTCCGGTGAAGGTGCGTGGCGTCAGTCACGCACGCCGAAAAATTTTTTGGTATGCTCCCTAAAATTTTCGCGGGATCAGAACCCCGAAATTTCAGAGAAAGGAGTTTTTGTATAAGACTGGGAATTTTTTAAAAATTTCAAAACTATTAACTTTCTACAATTGCAGACAAGTCATTTGCACAATTTTATAACCCATGTAAGTAACTTTCGAATTCGCGATCCGTTCTCGTGTGGGGGGGGGGGGGGTGAGGGCGCCCCTCCCCCACTCCTCCTCGGTACGCCACTGGTACATACCCTCAACAACTATCCTCAAACTGTCCTTCACTGGCAGCGATGGCCTTCCTGTTGGCCAGAGTCGTCGAGAGAAGGCTTGAAACTCCCTTAATGCAAGGGAGAAAGGGAACGAACTCTGCTATTTTTAGCCGCTTTTGCGGACCACTGGTCCTTTCGAGGTGTCGTTGCATCTCCTTCGACCACTAGTCCGAGAGACGGCGCTCTTATCTACGTACTAGCTGGCTTACCCGGCTCCGCCCGGCTTTGTCAAAACACTATGATAAAGATCCTATCCCTATCCCTGCACAATCATTCCCTGTGCCCACTTCTACATACCAACTCCAACTCCCTATTCCCGCTTGTTAGTTATCAGCATGCTCGCTTACCCCGTCTGCCAACTCCCAGTCCCCCATAGGTCGAGCTTTGCAAAAAATCGATAGAATCAATAGAAGTAATCGATAATTCCAGAAACTAATATTGTATTCGTACCAGCGTGCTCACTTACTGCCCCCCCCCCTCTGTGCCAACCCAGCCCCGTAGCTCGATTTGCAAAAATCGATATTGATCGATAACGAAAACTAGCCTATGACACGGTCCCAGCCGCGAAGTATATGTATGCCATGTTTGATCCAAATCGGTTCAGAAATAAAAATTTCTATTCCGCACATGCGTAGACACATACAGACAGACAAACAGACATTAGCTTCATATATAAGATGCTCATAGCCTGATGTTCCCTTGTTCTTTTGCAGCAGTATCCATTCACGTCCATTCTCGTTATTCGTTGGAGAAATGAGGTTAAAGGCACCGTCCACCCACATTTTCGACTACGACGTTTTTGTCGTTTCAGGGCCTTTTCATGTCCCTGATTCCGAATATGAAATCGAAAATGCGCGAAAACCCCAACAATCCCCGTTGCGGAGCATCCACAGGCCGGCTTTCCGGAACGATGATTGGATGGGCGCGCACAAATGTGCGGGCATGGATAGAGGGGGGGGGGCATGGATAGGGGTCCTCGTGCATATTCGCCAATCCGAAGGTTCATTTTCTCGCTTCCGAAGCGGCATTTTGCTCCGCGACGTGGGCATTGGAATGATAGGGGATATAATATGCTAAATAATATGCTGCCAAAAGCTCAACACCCTCAACTTAGGATGGACGGCGCCGTTAAGTTATACGTTGCAGAGAATTGTCATGAATACCTTCCAGAAACTAAAAATTTGATTTGAGATTTAATAATTATCAGAGAATTATCGGTGTCCATAGTACAGGGTGTCCGTAAAGTATCTATGCAATGTTTGATCGTTGATATCTTTCTTCCCAACGAGTCTTTTGCCTTGCTTCAGGTACCGTTTTGTAGAGCTGGCTTCAACTTAAATTTACTGTATGGAGCGAATCACCGATCACTCTTCATTACTGTAGGATTACGGTAGAAACTTCAAAGAGGGTTTTGAGCCATCAAAGGCATATTTTGCCTCAGAAAGGAAACAAAACAGCCTGAAAAGTTTTACACTAGGCTAATTGTAGTTGCTGATTCTAACTTTAAAGTTTTCAATTCATTATGTTGATTCATTGAAGAGTTATGCCGGGTAAGAGGTAGCGGCCATTTTTTCAATGTTCCTAAAAAGTGCGGTTATACCGTTTAGAAAGCTTCGCAATCTTGGGAATTGTTGAGTATTGAACTCCGCGTCCATAAAAACCCTATTACACAAGTTTTCACATTTTTTTGAAAAATTTTGAGACGGCAGCATTTTCCACATTGACATCATATGTTTCAAGTTCTACCGTAATCCTACAGTAATGAAGAGCGATCGGTGATTCTCCTCATACTGTAAATCTAAATTGAAGCCAGCTCTACAAACGGTACTTGAAGCAAGGCAAAAGTCATGTTGGGAAGAAAGTTATTAACGATCAAACAGTGTATACATACTTTACTCAGACATTCGCCATTAAGTCCCGCAGGACAAGAGGTGTAGTCACGGAATGCCTGCGCGACTCCCGAAATCGGTGTCGGAACAAAATCAAGACACCTGATTTTGTTTTGGGACAAAAGTGCGCGACAAAATCAGGTGTCCCGACCGACACATTCCGGACAAAATCGGAACACCTGCGGGAGACATCATAATGTCCCGATCGCGTTCAGAGCATGCGTTCTACGCCCTAACGGATTTTTGCGTCCTGCATCTCTTCTCTCACGCCTCCTTTTTCACTTATCTTGTGCCTTTGGTCTCTTTGGGTCTCAGTTCTCACGCCTGTTTTTTTCTGCTCGTAAAACGCAGTCAAACGTCAACAAATTCATTAACAAAAACCACATAATCTTCTCGGCAAGATTTACAACAAATGGAAATGAAATGCATAGAAAGCAGCGAACATAAGGTTCAGGAGCTAACAACTGGAACGCGAAAGTACGAGACAATTATAGCAATAACAAAAATGTAAATAATATTATCAGGCTTCTTCAGTCTCTTCAATTTCATCTCCAACGCATTCAGCCTTCTCAATCACTAGTTTCTTAGTGATACTGCTCCCTTCGCTGCCTTCGATGACGACATCAACACCAGTGATCATATAAAACAATGAATCACCTTTGACGGAAGAAGCACGTCTCTTTTAGGGCAAAATGGTAAGTGCGGGTTTTTGCGCTGCAAAAGTACAATTCAAAAGTATCGCTTTTTTTAACGTGTGAGAACTCACAGTGCTCTCCCTATTGCTATTCTTGCACGGCCGCTCCAATCCACTCTTGCCTCCGAAAGCTTGTTGAAAATTTCTCGCAAGCGTCGTCCTCTTCTCCTAGGGACATCCATTACCTAAACTCTAGTACACATGAAGGTCTTTCGAGAATATACATACCTGTTTACATTTTGCTTATGTTCATTTGGGGTCCGCAGGAGTTCGCGGTACAGGCCCAGAGCGTCAAGTACGAAACCTAAATCAGTCATTGGAGTTAATGTACTTGAAGACACATCGACCTACTTATTAAGAAATCGACCATTCCTTCTGGAAGGTCTTTAAGATGATCAAATTTCCCCTTCTTCCCGCTCTGCCTACAGGCGTAGTTTTGAATTTCCGTTGGAGGTTCGCAGGCCTAAACGGCGATTTACGAGACAACCTTATCATCTTCATCTTTGCCGCTTACATGTAAAAAGAAGTGCCGCAAAAAGTCGAGAACTAACAAGAAATGGTCCTGCTTATGAGCACGTTTTGGTCGCTGCCACTTTTCCATGACTTCGATCATATTCAACTCCTAATATTAAAACTTTTTTCTCGTTGACTGAAAATAACGTCCAGATCACCTTAAAGGGAGGGATACCCTGAAGATGTCAGATTCTGGATAGATTACTCCTCTGTAATGAATCCCTCTGGCAACGTATTCTCTTTGTTTTTCGCAACGTGAAAATGAGTCCTTCTCAACTCTTTGTCCTGTTGCCTCAGCTTCGATAAAAGGGCGTTCATCTGCAGACAATTCCTATCCTTGAATCCGGTGAAATCACGCTTACTGTCAAGGACAATCCTGCTATACTATTTGTTTGTTCTCTTACGACACAAGTACTCAGATAATCGCCGGGGGCAGGCGGTCCGCAAACTCGCGCTTTTCTGCAGGCGGTCAGCAGAATTTTGGGGCGTGGCCAAACCTTCAGCGGGCGGTACTTCCGCGTTCTGCCAGCGGGCAGCAATACAGAATTTTCTGCGAGCGCTCGTCAAATAATATCTTCCAGCGAGCGCTGGCCAAACTTTCAGCAAGCGCTCGGACTCTTTTTAGGTGTTTTCGGGCGTACGTCGAGCGCAGGTAAGACTCTGTATGGCAGAGGTGTCACCGTTGGTTTAATTACTCAAGTTTGAGGTACTTTCTCTCAGCGGAAAGTACCTGGGGGTTGCGCGGTCCTCCACAAAGGAACGTACGGCCCTCGAAATTCTTGCATATTCTCGCGGAAAGTCCGCGAGAATGCGGCCACTGCGCCGCAGCTAATCCATAAAGAAACCGCGATCATTTGTCTTTAATTTTGCCAACTTTCTTCCAAATCTCTGCAAGCGGGTCGCAAAAAATCAACGAACTATTTTTCCGGTGCGCGCTTGCTCAAAATTCGCATGGCCGCCTGCCCCCGGCGGTTATCTGAGTAAGAGCTCGGACAACTGAGTCTGAAGAACATTGTACCGTTTCGACGCTTGTTTGCATGTTTTTCACGTGCTGCATATTAGTCTTGATATCGCTTATCTTTGATGTGAACATCTCCTTAAACTACATAATTATCCCTTTACCTCTCAGCAAAAGATGTAAATATCACCTCATTTTCGACAGTGATGTCAAACTGTCGTACAACTCTCCCTAACTTCGCAAGCGACACAGTGTTCTCCTCCAAGACTCGCTTTAAAGCCCCTAAAACACACAGTTACATCCCATTCCAGACATTAGAACGACATGAACGCATTAGAACGACATGAACGCAAAGCTAACCTGTGGAAGATGTAGAAGAAGCGGGTATCGTTTGTGGCTGCAAGGAAGAAACTGGTGGAAAACTTTCAGTGCCCATACGGCGTTTGCGAGAATTGTTCCTGTTGATTTGACTGCTCGACACATTGGCTTGACTGTTGGATGAAGTGCCGATAGAGTCATCTGAAAGGATATTTTCTTTGTCCACGTTTTCGTCTTCTGAAGTTTTCGTCTGCAAGACAGGGAAGCCGAATTTTGCAAGCTAACCAAGAAAAGAAGCGTAGAGGCTCAAGTAGTTCGGAGTATATTCTTTGTCGGAAGAGTACATGCCTGTCATAAGTTGCAAATTTATCTCTAAGAACTATGTTTCGCATAGAATTTGATGAAAGGTACTTAGCGGTTACGAACCGCGAATGAATATGGAAAACAACATAGAGAGAGTTTATTAACTTCAGGAACCATATACATATGTTGCATCAGCAAAATCATCAAAGCTTAAAAAGATTTTGTCTTTCTTTGAATTCTATGAAGCTGGCCGCAGATTTATATACAGAGATAGGCTACCTTGTAAAATACTTATCACTCCTGGATTCGCCTCAAAAACAACCCCAAAAAACAATTCTGAAGTTCTCAGAGGGAAGAGAGGATGCTCAGACAAGAAAGAAGTATGATTTTTTTCGTCCTGATAGTATTATACTTCTAAGAAAATGCAGCTAAAACAAAGCCTTTTAACAAGTTTTAGTGTTTGATTGGGGCATCTTATATTTCGGCCGATGGACTTGGCCAAATACTGTACATCGTTGACATGAACTCAACACTGTTGGCAATTTGAGCATTGCAAACCCCCTTGCAAAAAACCTGGACTTACCTAGGCTGCAGGAATAATGGTAAGCCTAGCTTATGTTGACTCATGAAATAACAGCGGAGCTTCCTTGGAAGTTGAGCTGAAAATGAAACTGACGCTTTCGGCAGCTATACAGAATGAACTCAATAATTTGAAATTGTACTCGTTCAAACATGCGCCCGCGCTTCGAGACAAAATCGCAACAAAATCGGGATAAAACTAAAATGATGACTCCCGCCGGTGCACCGGATTTTCGTGCTACCACCTATTTTGTGGGCGGATCTCCTGCGGGAGTCAATGGCGAATGTCTGAGTACGGACACCCTGTATATTACCATTTTATAGCTTACTAGTTGACTTACCCGGCTCCGCCCGGCCCTGTCATTATTATATTCGTAATCAGCATGCTCGATTACCCCCTTTGCCAACTCCCAGCCCCGTAGCTCAAATTTTGCAAAAAATCGACAAAATCGATATCGATCGATGACGAAAAGTAGCCTATGGCACCCGCCCCGTCCCGAACTGTATGTGTGATAAGTTTGGTCCGGGTAGGTTGAGAAACGGAATTTTCTATTCGGAACATACGTACAGACAGACAGACAGACAGACAAACGGACATTCAGCTTTATATATAGAATCGTCAGGGTTGAGCGTGATATCAGCCACACATCCTTTGAAAACGACTTCCCCCACTTTGCGCACCTGTCGAAGGACCCTTCCCCCCCCCCCCCCTCCCCCTCCGCCCCTCCTTATCCTCCACTTTACTTCTAGAATTTCTTGGGTGACATCTTCGGAAGAAATCAGCATTGTACCACGGTCCCGAAAAAGCGTCGTACAATTTTCGGCCATCACCGAATTATTCGCCAATGACGTGCAATCTCAAAAATTTTCTTTGAAGTGAAAAGTTCGGAACTTATTATCTTTTAGAGTAGTTCAAGTCTGCTGATTTTTGTTGGTAAAATTAGGGTCGGAAAATGCTTGACTCGCCCGTTTTTGATGCTGATTTCAAGTCTAGGATCAAAAATAAGCGGTTTGCGCACGCTAAAGGTAACTTAAGTGAAAGTAGGGCTGCAAGGTTGTGCCTGATTATTAACTTTGTCTTCAATTTAGCTATTCCACCCAACTTTTATATCGTACGTCATCAACGTCTTAAGGGCCGGGCATAGTTCACGCGATTTCAGTCGCTACGCGATTTGGCAATTCGCCAGAAGTCTTCAGATCCAAAACTAGCGAACTGCACATGCAGAGTGTGTATAACTTGCGTGGATTGCTAAAATGCCCCACATTCTGTACATTCAAAATGTGCTTACAGCGAGTTATGGACAGTTGAAATATTGCCAAATCGCGTCGCGATCGAAATCGCGTGATGTATGCCCGGCCCTTTAGGCTCTTTGATGGGGATTTGAGCTTGCTTCACTTCTTTGGCCTTTGTGGTGGTCCACGGATGAAAGAACTGAAGGTGAAAACGGATGGCAGGAATTAGACGACGCTTTTTTTCTTTCTAGTTTCTAGTAAAGCGATGGAAGTGAAATTCCTA